AACTCACCTCTTTCCAGGAGTTGTACCCGTGAAAGAAATTTCCATTTTCCGGCATGTATCTGACATACCGGATTCCCAGTGTCCGGAACTTGTCGACGACAGCCGAGTCCAGGTTCCGTAAGACCTCGCGAGCGTCCAGCATCACGGTCTCCCCGCCCTGCCCCGGATCGGCCGGCCGCTGGCAGAAGAAGAGGATCTGTGGAACAAGCAGCAAGAGAGTAAGTCTAGGACTGTGATCACTCTCTGATTCACTCGCCCACTCACTCACTCACTCAGTTATTTACTCAGTCGCTGCTCACTTTGTCACTCATTTGCTCGGCCTCCCTCAAGGCCACACACACACACACACACATACACATACACACACATAGACACCTTTTCCGGGTAGTAGTGTGTGTAGCACATCTCGTTGTGCGGTTCTATAGACGTGAGGGGGGGGTTCATCACTTGCAGTCTCGACGTTGCCCTCGACTTTCTCCCTCTTAGTCACCCCCCCCTGCGTAGGACATTGGCTTCAGGGCCAGACTGTTTGCAAACCTACAAACAAAAACAAGAAACATGATTATACAAGGCATGACTCCAGATATGCCTTCCGAATCAACAAGTCTATCAATGAATGATCATTACCAAATGGGCACCACAAAACAAACAAGAGTTCCGAGATCTCATACCTCCATGAAATATGGGCTTGACATGGTAATGTTAATTTCTTCTTTAATTATGCAAATTACCTCCACATTAACATAATAAATGCATCGTGATGTTAACTTTTGATTAACTTACACATGTACCAAGTATGAAATTCCCATCATTTACCACTAAGGAGTCATAGAATTTTCGCATTAATTATGCAAATTAGGTCATCATTTGCATAATTGGTATCTGGTGATGTTCCATCTGCCATAGATTACATACTAGTACATTACATGTATGAAAGTACTATAATGCAAAACACTGTAATTATAGAATTTCCTCATTAATAATGCAAATTAAGTCCTCATTTGCATAATTTGCAGTCACGATGGTCAGATTTGGGCCCAAAGTCCCACTCCGCTACTATGGAGATCGAATCCCCCGAACCCGCGAATCTTGTTCGATATGACGTCATTCGAATAGAGCGGGCGTTCGATCTGGGGTTACCCGCGGTCATTTACAGTAAAGCCGCTACAACCGGCTACTTCAAGCCCTTTTTTACTTGGGAACCACGGAACAGGAAAAATCCACCTTTCCACAAATATGAACCGTTTTCAAAACATTACATCTATGCCGTGATTTTATTGTGGATATGTAACGTAAACATGTAACGAAGCTACTGCCGTCATCGTGGGTGACCTTGAAGGTCAGAATTCTTGTTGACGCTGTTATAAAATCCAGGTCCCCATATCCAAGTGGCAGAGCATGCGTGCAAACATGGTATTTTAACCATTCCCAAAAATCGCTCAAATTACCTCATTGAGGGCTTGTTTGGAAGAGGAACGATTTCCGCAGATTTCTGTCTTAGGGATTTTTTAAATATGGCCGCGATTATTAATTATCGGTATTTAAAGTTTAAACACTGCGTTTTTAGCTCTTTTTTTGACTGTAAGTCGAGTTTTAGTTAAAAAATAAAAAAATCCTAAGACAGAAAGTTTAAATTTACTGTAATATTTCTAAAAATCCAAAAATCTAACCTTATTTTTAATTTTCGGGGCCTCTTAAAATCAGTTGTTTGGTTCTCGTGAACCCTTTTTGAAATCCGAAATTGATCTCATTTGGAAGCAAATGTACACAAAGTGGAGCAAAGGCAGTGCAAGAATAACATTTGAGGTAAACAAAATCACTTATTACATTTTATTTTGACGAGTATTTACTCTCCAGTTACTTTTGTTTATTTTCAAATTTTACCCGTTGCCCCCGGGCCGGCCTGGGACTCCCGCGCGGCCACGTTCGAACGCGTTCTGTAACCCGATACCTCCCTAGTAATGCGACTTTTAGCCCAGCAACCGACCGCCGTGAGTTAATTATGTACATCTCTCTCTCAGCTACCTACCTACCAAAAATGATGAAAATACACTGTTTCTATCTGGACTTATTGGCTTTTAAAGATTTCGCCCGAAAGTCCCCTGCAGTTCCAGAACAAGCTGCTAGGGGGACCAAACCCACACCACTTACTAGACAGGACAATCTATCTGCCACCAAAAAATCAAGACCATAGCATATTCAGGACAAAAGATACAAAAACCGGAAGTTCTGCTGCAGTACCAAGGTCATCCACCAGGAGGCGTATATTTGACCTTGACCTTCGTCTTCCTAAGACCTACCAGCATACCAAATATCATCACAATCCATAAAGGCGTTATGAAGTTATGCTAGCCGCAAATGTGCGGAGACACAAACACACAGCCAGACAGACAGACAGACAGACAGACAGACAGACAGACAGACGCAACAAAAACAATACCTCCATTTTCATGGAGGTAATAGCACAGGTTGTTTGTTTTCAAACACACAGCCATACAGTGGCACTGCCACATTTGCCCTGAAATAGGTCACCTATTCCCCTGAGGGAGCGCGCTGCCTCGCTGGGCATAGCCACATCTGTTACCCTGCCTCGCAAGTACCTCTCAGCCATGCCCTGACTCAACCTTAAACCGGAAGTGCTGCTGCAGTACCAAGGCCATCCACCAGGAGGCCCATATTTGACCTTGACCTTCGCCCTCCTAAGACCTACCAGCATACCAAATATCACCACAATCCATGAAGGCGTTATGGACTTATGAAGGTACAAAAATGCGGAAACACAACAAACAATACCTTCCATTTCATGGAGGTAATAAGAACCAAATGAAGTCACAAATACACGAGAATCACTACTATCACGATTCTGTTATAACATTAATTAACATTAACTGTCGGACACAGAAAGGTAATGTACTGTTTAGCGTACACTGTGTCCGGCATTTAAACTGTGTCAGTTCGTACTATTCCTAAACTTGTCCGGACCGAGCCGAATCGCTTTGATCCGGCTTCGAGCCGGATCGAAGCCGCACCAAAGTGAATAAAATCGGCTCTATCCAGAAAATTTTTTCCAAACGGAATAGGGCCTTTTTTGTTCGCCGTCCGAGGAAAATGGACATATGCTTACGGTGGCGGCAGGTGCAGAAAAAAAAAGAAAGTCTGCGTATTCACGGTAATGATAAGTTTGAACAGAAAACACGCCACGCCATGAGCTGACCTGACTGCATGGTGAAGATGATAAATGAGCTGGTTAAGATCCAGGTCGCGTCGTCCCAGCTCAGACCGTCCCCGGCCGCGTCCGTGTGTGTGCCGCCGCCGGCGGTCCCGTTACCCGGTACGGCAGAGGCCGGAGTGGTGCTGTACGTGTACGTCTCATTTTCCGCGGCGGTTTGGTTGGCGAGAGTGGCGTTGAGAAAAACGTCCAGTACGGTGCTGTTCGGAAAGGTTTCCATGTCAGTGTCTGTGCAAAAAAATATACAGAAAAAAAAGAAGAAAATTGTGTTAACATATACATGTAGCTCACTGAAAGACAGAGAGAGAAGCTTTATTCTTCTTCTCATTTTCTGCGGCGGTCTGGTTGGCCAGAGAGGCGTTGAGAAAAAAAGTCCAGTGCGGTGTTGTTCGGAAAGGTTTCCATGCCTGCGTCTGTGTAAAAAATAGAAAGAAGTAGAAAATTCTGTTAACATAGCTCACAGAAAGGCACAGAGAGAAGCTTTATTCTTCTTCTCATTTTCTGCTGCGGTCTGGTTGGCCAGAGTGGCGTTGAGAAAAACGTTCAGTACGGTGTTGTTCGGAAAGGTTCCCTATCTGTGTCTGTGTGTAAAAAATACAAAAAAAAAAAAGAAGAAGAAAAACTTGTCAGCATATAGCTCACAGAAAGACAAAGAGAGAAGCTTTACTGGAAGAATCTGTACGGTGTACGGTGAACCATTAACTGCAAAATAGAAAATACAATTCTGTCCCAGAACTATCGCCGAGTGGAACTTGCTGTCACCAAGTACAGTAGGATCATTGTCATTAGATAGCTTTAAACAATGTCTAGAGTTAGATGTTCAAGGGTAAGGTGTAACAAGTCGATCGGTGTAATGTAGCCAGCTGCCACCGCGCCGCGTGCCTGCGAAGCTGGTGTGTTACGCCGAAAGGCGGTTTACTGGCTTTACAGATACCGATACAACAGAAATCATAAAATACTCTATACCTACAAAAAATAAGGGAAACAAGACAGGTGCCTGACACACACACTGTATATTGTGATACGAAGTTACAGGCTGAATACACTGCATATTATTCTCGTTCTAGAAATATCTTTTGGTCAAATTCCACTTTGCAGAATAGTCTTCGGTCACAAGTTTCAAAATACGCTATACGAAATGCAGTAGTAACGATTAACAAGTTACAAATCACCTTCACAAGATTGTAGTTGCATACATCCACAAGCTTAATTCCTCTGCTATATTTTCCATAATACAAATAGGCAGTGGACAATTAATTTTAACCTCTCGTCTCATAAGCACATACGACTTCTAACTTACCAGACCAGATCTCGAATTCGAAGCCTCGACCCTCAGGTTAAGAAACAGTGTCGCTAAGAACTGAACCCATACACCACCACAGACCGCTAACGGACGATATGGATGAAACTTCACCCAGAAAGCTTGATTAAAAATGCATATTAAATTCACGTCTGAAATAATCTCTGAAAGTATAAAAGAATATACTATATAATGGCTGACACGTCATGGAACCGATGCTAATTAGCTGGGATATTCTAAGTAATAAGATTCGGTAATATCATGTGTATAAAGCGTCACATAGAGATGCTAATGTATCGCCATTTGGGAGTCTTAATTCCTTTTACTCTGGTGGTTTTACTGTGGTGGATTCGGGGACTTTTCTGTCACGCAATGGAGAAGATTAGTTGATTGATTGATGGGTTGTTTGATTGATTGTCATCTATTATGGTAATTATATTACATGTAGGAAGACATGTTCTCTTGGTAGAAAAGGTTCTTTCTTTCTTCCTTCCTTCCTTCCTTCCTCCCCTCCTTCCTTCCTTCATTTATTCCTTCATTCCTTCCTTCCTTCATTTCTTCCTTCCTTCATTTCTTCCTTTCTTTCTTCCTTCCTTCCTTCTTTTCTTTTCTTTTCTTTTCTTCCTTCTTTCCTTCCTTCCTTCCGTCCTTCCTTCCTTCTTTCCTTCCTTCATTTCTACCTTCCGAAAATGTAGTAAGAAATGGAAATAAATGCCTCATTCATAATATTGTTTCTCTTGCCGCCCTAAAATTGCATCAGATGCCTTTAATGTGGCCAATTTCCTGCTGCGTGCCAGGTGAATCGTCTGAATCATCGATCAATCATTCAGATCTCCTGATGCGTGTTTCCATCGCCCCAAAATGTCCACTAATCCTCCCCTCTAATCCCGTCTGCGTGTGGGCGGGATAATCCACCGGTATATCGCCCAGGGAACAACGCCCACAGGATTAGGATATCAAAGAAGATGAGTCGGTTAATGGCGTGGTTAAAACTTAATTCTGATCAGATGTTTGCGTTTCGCTCGATGTCACGCAAAAAAGCGAGGACAAATCTTTTTTCCCAGTAGGTCAAAGAGTTGGAAGTGCTCGACTTCGTACAATCGCTTGCCTGGTAGGCAGTTTGGTTTCATAGGTCTCATTCGCAGGATGTGCATTCTATTTGTGTTTGTATTGACACCTGAGTCTGTACTTGCTACGAGAAGCAGGTAAATAGGCCTCCTGACGAAACACCGGTTTTGGTGAGTACAAGCTGTGTAAGAAACTTATTTCTTTTAGGCCATCCCAAAGAGTGGATACGCACGAGGGCTTCTTGGGCATGTTTCAAATGCGTGGCTTTCCTTGAACCCAGGACGGAGGGACAAGCATCTCATTCAAAAAGGCAGACTGGACTGCAATCCCCACCAGAGGGCTTCAAAGCGTAACATCGACGTTTTGGCTGGGATTTGAAGCCGCGAGTTTGCGGTCTAGTACCGGTATCGCCATTTTTTATCGCCAGAAGGACACTGGTTCTAAAAAATCACCAGAGAGTAGGGTGTATTTTTCGCCGCATATTCCATGGGGCCAGGTGACCTGAGAACATCGGCTAATTTATAAAAGTCGTGTGATGATGAAGAAAATACCGGTCGTGTTGCTGCCAAAAGTGCCATTGTAGAGCTCACAGACGTGTCCGGTGACGAAGACTTTTCCTACGGCCGTGAGGCGGCCACTCCACCACGGTACCACCACAGTACCACCACAGTACCACCGCAGTACCACCGCAGTACCACCGCAGTACCACCACAGTACCACCGCAGTACCATCACAGTTCCACCGCAGTACCACCGCAGTGCCCCCACAGTATCTCCACAGTACCATCACAGTTCCACCGCAGTACCACCGCAGTGCTCCCACAGTATCCCCACAGTACCACCGCAGTACCACCGCAGTACCACCGCACGAACGTCTGCGCCATGGCGGCGCCCGTCAACGTCTCCAACGCGACCAATGTGACGGCCACGGCCGCTTCCGAGGTGGACGAGAACCAATACTCGGACGACGCCACCTGGATCTTAACTAGCGCCTTCATCATCTTCACCATGCAGTCAGGTAATCATAAAAACTGTTTGTATCTATTTCTTTCTTCCAGGGACGGAAAAATTGTTTTGGGTGGGTTGTATGGAGGTGTGTCGGCACAAACTAGAATAGCAACATGTCAGAAGGTCAGACAAAGGAAATGGGGTGAACAACTATACCGTGTTAATTAATTCTGTTTCTCGTGTTTACTGGTAGACCCGAAGCTTGTTTTCACTTCTTAGAATTTGCCATGCATTCTGTGTAGAAAACAATTCAGCAGAATTTAAATGGGGGCTATTCAGCTGTTCTAAAGATTAAATAGATAAACACAAAGTCAGTTCAAGACAACAGCTTACAGGAATTAGAGGCTGACCTATTAGGGAATTCAGGAAGTCGATTTTTTTCCAACATGTAATCACAAGACGTGGTGACGGCACACTCAAGTTTTTTTAAATTTATATTAATGCCGCCACCAACACAGGGGACAATACAATACTCATTTTCACCTGAGCGAAGTGAGGAAAGTCGTGTAAAGTGCCTTTCCCAAGGGCGCAAGATCGGCGGCATGTCAGGACTCGAACCAGGAACCTCTAGGTTCCGAGTCGAGCACTCTGCCGCTACGCCACACGACCCCAGGAAGTCGATTATTGCAAGAGTCCCCTCCAACCCTGCACAGTTTCTGTCCTACACAGAAATACGTGTTATGTATCTTCGCATGTTTGTATGTGTGTAACTGCACGCCTTCTTTCTGCCGTTGTCAGGGTTCGGATTGTTGGAAAGCGGAACGGTTTCTCCTAAGAACGAGGTAAATATCATGGTGAAGAACGCGTCCGACGTACTGTACGGAGGCCTGGCCTACTGGATGTTCGGGTGTGTCAAAGACATTCTCTACTACTCATTGTTTCTTCCCACATCTAAAGCCCCTGCATGTAACACATAGACGAACACTTAGGCCATGTTGATTTGATTATATGGATGGCATCCTCTGGGAACCCCAAAACTGATGCGAGCGTGCGAATAAAAAAGAAGTTTTGCAAAAAAAAGTTACTTTGAATATGAAATCAACGTGATCATGAAGGTTGAACAAATGACACAGAGTATGGTTTGGCGAATAATCTACTCTTCCAATTCATTTTTTTTTTTTACATTTTTCGTGTTTTATATATAACTACCTTTTATTATGTGGATTTTGACGTTATTTTATACTCTGTTTCAGAGTTCTTTTATGTTTGTAATAACTTAGCCTTCGGGGATAGATATGCAATAAACCTCTCTATATTCCTTTCCCGTGGGTCCACATCACTCTCACACCTACAAAACTGTAATATTTTCGATGTAGTTCAAAACTTCATTTACTGTAGGGGTAGATTCTCGTAATTGATAGATCACCAACTTGCCTTGTTTGTATTTATCTTGGTTTTACCAACCTTGTAATTATGCATGTATTTTGTCAATGTGTTTTACACTCGTTTTATATTTTGAGTAGAAGATGTTATATAAGCAACTTGTGCTTTTTCCCCAATAGTCAAACCATATGTGTGAATAAATAAAACAAGAATAAATTCCCCTCCCGACCAGATACGCGTTCAGTTTCGGTGACAGCCCCTGGAGTAACGCGTTTTGCGGGCTGGGGCAGTTCTTCGTGGACGCAGAGGAAGCCAAGATGGGCTGGGTCTTCTCTAAGTTTTTCTTCCAGATGTCTTTCGCGACCACGGCCACAACTATCGTCTCAGGTTCGTTCATCTCACAGTTTCCAAATCTTTATAATAGATAATTCTGCAAAGCTTGTTTAGCCATGTGGATACACAATGTATCCGACTTCACTGTCCTTTTACCTTAGCCAAGAAGGTTAGACCACAATTAGCACATTTAATGGATGACATCCTCAATAGACTCCAAATCTAATGCGAAATCCAAAATTTCGGTGACAAATTCCTGTGTGTTTTCTTTTTCGCTGTTTCTCTTTTTCTTTCCATTGACGTTGTCTTCTCAGGCCTCGAAATTTTCTTCCTATTGTCCCGACGCTGTCCCAAAAATAAATTCCATTTTTCCCAAAAGTGAGGATGAACTGTCCCAAACTGTTTTTCTGGAAGTATTGTATGACTTCAGCTTGACGTCCGCTATGTTTTCCTTACGTTCTAACTCCCACTTTTCCGGATCCAAAATCCAGGACATGTGCCTGATAAACAAATTAAAGGAAGGGCAGACATTCTGACGTTGCTTATTTTTCTATTGTCCCAAAAATGTCTCAAAGTGTCTTTTTAGTTGTCCCGGCCTAAATTTCAGTGGTCAGTGGCCATGTGGACACCGTTAATTTTGAGCGCTGCTTCTCTCCCACTCCAGGAGCGATGGCAGAGCGGACAAAACTCCAGGCTTACATGGCGTTCTGTGTTCTCAACACTCTGGTGTTCTGTTTCCCCTCTCACTGGGCCTGGGACAGTAAGGTACGTGTACATGTAACCATTTTAAAGACTTCCAAACATATGAAAGTTCATCTGTGTTGGTAGTAATCATAGTAAAACGTTAAACTTTATTCCAACACAAAAGGTATACAGAGATCAAATTTTCAGCGACCACTGTCGCCTTCATCAGGATAATTTTAATGACCAATCACTTCACAACGTAATCTCGCGAGAGTTACGGTTACAAACATGTGACCTTGTTCAAACGAGACTTAACGGATACGTGGCGCAGCAAGTCTCGTGATAAACCGTACCAGTCATTAATATTATCCTGATGAAGGCGACAGTGGTCGCTGAAAATTTGATCTCTGTATAATTTGTGTGTTGTCTTACTATGACTACCAATACAATTTCAGGGCGTTAAAACAATCAAACAAACAAACAAACAAACAAACAAACAAGCAAGCAAACAGAATAATCTGCAACGGGGACAGACATCGTTTTCCAAATGCCTTTGACCCAGTGTTGACGTCAGACTTTACTAAATTTTTCACCCACCCCCTCTTTAATTAATAGTTAAGTGAAATACCTTTATTGTTCATTCATGCCACGACGGGCTAGGTACAGGTCAAGACTTAACAGACACATAACAGACGTATGTAGAAAAGTGGAGGCAAAAATACACTACTTGACTTAGACATACAATATACATAAGTAACATACAAGGGTACTATACTAGGCTAATACAAAGTGTTCTAGTTACTGAGCTAATACAGAGTGGTCAACTTCTCGCTTTTTTTTGTACAATGGAAAATGTGAGAACAGATCATGTTTGTGATACAGGGTTTGTCTAGACGCATAAAAATATAAATCTATCATTTGAACTTAGGTGTTCAAAGTATGGGAACTTCTCTTTGATATGATTAAAAAGGACAGATCTTTCATTAGAATATAAAGTACAGTCTATGATAAAGTGTTGTTCATCTTCTATTCTATTCATGTTACAGTATTGACAGAGTCTATTCTGGAGAGGAATGCGGTAAGGCCACACCAAGTAAATTTTATGGATGACGTCCTTCAGAGACACTAAATCTAATGCGAGAGGGCGACAAAAAAAACAAGAAGGGCCCTAAAAAACAAGATGCCTAGATTAAAAATATACTAAGAGACGACAAAATTGCGTTAGGACACAAATTGAATGAGGTGACACAGTGTAACAAGTAAGAAGTCTTTCATTCATCATCAAAATAGCAATGAATCAGGTGGAACAGCAGTTGTCGTCCTGCCCTGTTTCTTTCATCACATTTTTGCCCTTTACCCATTTCGCGTTACGGGTTTCACGTCAATCTGACGATTTGAAGCACTGTCGGGATTCTTTGGTCATAGTTACAGGAAGCGGAATTTCTTTTTTTTTTCTAGGAACAGGCCAAAATCAATGCGTGCGCGGACGTCATCCATAAAATTTACTTGATGTGGCCTAATATGAAAATACTTAGTAGTCCCAAAGGCCGTCGGTGTCTTTGAACTCTAGTTCAAACGAGCAGACTGACAGTTATACGTTAAAGGATCGATAAATGAAATCTTCTTAACGTATTTGCTATGACTGTAATAGTGAAGATTTGGCTTAGGCTTTAATATGGCTTAATTTTCGGATGAAAAAGCGAAAACTACTCATGCATTTGAAGCTGAAGAGAAGCTATAAAAGAACAAAATTTTAGAAAAATATACATATATGTAAGTATGAACTATTAGAGGTATACAAAATACCAACCTACTATTTCAGGGAAATTCAAAAATTTTATATCTATTGCACGTTTATTATTTTTAGATCAGCTAAAACAATACACAGATGAAAAGGATATCGAAAAAAAAAACAGTCTGTAGTCGAATCCTTAACTTTTAGACATAAGTATTATAAATAAACATAGGAGTCGGCATGAGTCAATTAATTAAAAAAAAAAGAATTTTGGGCATTTTTGCTCCATGAATGTAGATATACATTGGGACAGTGTTGTTTCAACATATGTATGTAGATAAATGACTAGAATATTGCAATTGACTTTCACAAATCTGGTTTCAAAGCCCAAAACACTGCACTGGATGCGTTAAATTTAGAGATTTTCCCGCCCAGGGCTGGCTGAACAAGATGGGGTACGTGGACGTGGGAGGTGCAGGACCGGTGCACCTGCTAGGGGGCGTGTGCAGCCTGGTGGCGACGCTGATCCTCGGCCCTCGGCACGGCCGCTGGGACAGGGACGAGGCTCCGCCCATGGGCTCCCCCACCAACGCGCTACTGGGCATGTTCATGCTCTGGTGAGCTGTTTACACCTTCAAGCAGATGTTTTGATGTTTTTTTTTCTCTTTAATTGATAAATGACTGAATGAAGACCTTTATTGTACATGCATACTCACTGTGCTAAGTGCAGGTCACAACAAATAAAGAGTCTGTAACTAAATACATATGCCAATTCTTAATTTTTTTTTTTATTTCCATACCAACTTTGCAGGCATACATTATATGTATTACATATAATGTTGTCTGAATAACATTGATATTTACAATCTAAAATAAACCCATATAATTTTTATACATCTATTACGAACTGCACATCCCAGACATAACAAGTACCATTCTAATTATACAGTCTACAGATTATAGAGGCTGATGCACCGATGTAGGAAATAGTTACTAAGTAAATATGGTAAAGTCGACTTCTACTCGCTTCTCTGTGATGTAAAGTGGTGAGTGATATATACGCGGAGAGAGATGCATAACTCTACATGTAAGTCTGAACAGGAGACTGACTGATACAGTAAACTAAGTCAAACTGTAAGTTTGTATATTTAGAGTTACAACTTTTGGTCCAACACAAAAAAATTCTCTCACCTAGAGCTTTCGACCAGTCACTCTGGTCTTCCTCAGTAGACTGACCCAGTGAAGCTTGTCACGTGGCTTCTTTGAAGTGTGACGTCAACACTGGGTCAAAGGTATCTGGGAGACGATGTTGGCCCCCGTCGCGGTTCAATGAAGGGTGATGGGTCCTGATGTATATGGCCTCGTTTTTTGTGTTGGACCAAAAGTTTTAACTCTAAACATGTAACTACCAACACAGATGAACTTTCATGATAGTATAAGTTTGTATGCATTGCGTTCCCTCCAGGTGGGGTTGGCTGGGGTTTAACTGCGGCAGTACCTTCGGCATTACCGGCGGCAAGTGGAAACTAGCTGCCAGGTACGTAGCCTGACTACATCACGCTTCTAGCAGCCCTTCAACTGGTCAGGCCTTTAGCCTGACTACATCACACTTCTAGCAGCACTTCCATTGCAATTGGTCAGGCCTCTAGTCTGACTACATCACACTTCTAGCAGCACTTCCATTGGTCAGGCCTCTAGCCTGACTACATCACACTTCTAGCAGCACTTCCATTGGTCAGGCCTCTAGCCTGACTACATCACACTTCTAGCAGCACTTCCATTGGTCAAGCCTCTAGCCTGACTACATCACACTTCTAGCAGCACTTCAACTGGTCAGGCCTCTAGCCTGACCACATCACGCTTCTAGCAGCCCTTCAGCTGGTCAAGCCTCTAGCCTGACTACATCACACTTCTAGCAGCACTTCCATTGGTCAGACCTCTAGCCTGACTACATCACACTTCTAGCAGCACTTCCATTGGTCAGGCCTCTAGCCTGACTACATCACACTTCTAGCAGCACTTCCATTGGTCAGGCCTCTAGTCTGACTACATCACACTTCTAGCAGCCTTTCCACTGGTCAGACCCCTAGCCTGACTACATCACACTTCTAGCAGCCTTTCCACTGGTCAGACCCCTAGCCCGACTACACCACACTTCTAACAGCCCTTCCACCGGTCAGTCCCCTTGACGCTTGAAGACCAACACCTTTTGGACCATCTTAATGCTTGCGTATATGTAGTGAAAAAGAATCCAGAGCCTATTGGTACTTCTGGAAATGCCTCCCATTAGTTAGGCTCTCTGATAGAGATAGTGTAACACAGGCTGCCAGCTGCCAGGTACCAATAATATTAATCTAATTGTTCTGATCACGCTGTAAAAAAAAACTAACAAAACAACTTGACAAGAACAGCAGCAACATGTCCGTGTACGTTTTCCGTAAACCTTCTTGAATAAAAATCATCTATAGCGACTATTCAAAAGATCAACTTTTTCAGAAATAAAGCCAATCCCTGCAAACTCACAACCAAGAAAGATTTTTGGTGACGCCTTAGGAGCGGAGCCTTTTACACGTCCCGGTATGGACATGTTTTCTTATGGTAAAACTGTTCGAGTTGCAGGTCGGCTGTGTCCACCATTACAGCGTCCATGGGCGGAGGTATCGTGGCTGTCGTGCTCAGGTACAACACACAGACACACGTACAACTTCTCATCGTTCGTTTATAAAATGTTTCATCACGATTAGTACATTACATATATATGAAAATCTGGATACACGTACATTGTAAGGTCTCTATATAGGCTGGTCCTAGTATCTTCTATATTGGGCAACTTATATTTTAAACATTGTCCATTACATACTATACGCTGTAGAGCACGTAGGCAGAACGTACTGCACCTGCGCTAATCCCGTAATGTATTGTTGATAGCACTTCGGCAGAACGCAATAACGTTATATAAGGTCATATTCGAGTATATAGCCTCCCGTCTGTAGTTTTCAAATGTTGTGTCGGAAAAGATGTCGTCTGCAACAGGCAAAATTTTATCATTACATCGTGATAATTTATGATAACGCGAATCCCTTTGCAAAATCCGACAAACAGTTACGTCACCAAAAAGCGGAAGTTTGACATCTCGTACCTGATCAACGGCATTCTGGGAGCTTTGGTGGGCGTCACAGGTAAATTCAAGTTATATATTGTTAGTCTAAGAGCTATTCATGACTTCCCACAATGCCTAGTAAAGATCACGGATATGACGTATGACCGCCCCCTCCCTCGATGTACTATTTGCAACAAGTTCTATCGACAAATTGGTCAACTATATTGTTTTGAATTATTTAATAACTTGTATAAAGCGCATGCCATAATTGCAATTTTGTTGGAATTTGAGAAAATGACGTACCTTCTACCGTTCTGCCTTCTACCGAAGACTGTCTGCTACTCGCACGGTCTCATTACGGATATCTGCATCTTACGTTATATCCGTGATCTTTACTAGGCATTATGAGAAGTGTGAAAGTCATTAATAGTTATGTTTAGGGCTATATGTTAGAGCCTAAGTAAGGCTTTGTAAACATATGTTTTGCATGAAACTTAGTACAGTACAACAATATTTACAATTACATTTATGGGGCGTCTACTTGTTACCTCCGGGTAGGGATGTATATCCCGAGCGCGGAGGTATTGTAAGGGAAGACGAAAATTGCGTTCGCAGCCGTTTCTCGCGTTTGGGTGGACGGATATGTCTGGGACTTGGTATACGTTTTGCTGTTGGGCTGTAGATGGTGCACGTTGTTTTGGTTTTTTAGTATGTGTGTTTTAGTGCGTGAAAATAATGCGTTTAGACCGCCGATGGACACCCCTTTCAGTGTGAAAGTGGACCTCAGCTTTTGACCTTTGCATGTATAATCACCATTGAGGTCGCGACCACTGATCTGACCTTTCACACAGAGGGGTGTCGATAAATTCTTTCTTTGAAACTGTTCAGATGTGAACCACATGTGCCGTCAATCAACGTCTCATTATCGTGCCTGGTGGGATCGCGCGGGTCGCAGCCAGCCAACTTCCGGGTGGGCCAATGGGTCAGGGGTCAACGCCCTCTTGCGCAATTTCGGATGTTTTCGGCTTACAAATACCGTGGTATACTGTCTCAGACGTTCTCGACATGCACTCGTTGGGGTAGGCGGGACTCGGTGTATCTTCTGTTAATGGGCTGTAGATGGTGCAGGTTTTTTTTGTTTTATTGTATATGTGTTTTGGGGCGTAAGATTATTTGTATTTCCTTTTCGTGTCTCGGACACCCGTTACTGTGTTTGTTTACATTATCGCTGGTCGCTGAGGGTCGGGCAGCCAGATTCGCCACGGGATGCCTCCTGTCCTTTCTATTTTTGGGCTCCAGTCGGCTAGGGGGGATTAGTGATTTCACACATCATTTAGCCAATTACAAACATTTCGAAACTTTTCGAAAAAAATGGTATTCGCGCGAATTCACTAGTTAATTTAAAGAACAGTCCCAACATGCACCCAACATTCTGCAACATACATTACAATACCCGGAGGTACAAAATCTACGATTTTCCTTGTTAGAGATGTTCTTGATATATTGACGTTGATTTGGTATTTTGGAGTTTTTATATGTTTGGTGTAGTGCTATTGAGCAAATATCATAGGCGGAACGGCTAGTGTTCAGAAGGCCATATTCAGCTACCATGTGATAGGCCATTTACAGCGTCATGTGGCGTAGTGATAGAGCGTTCGGCGTTCAAACAACGAGACGCGAAGGCCACCGTGTCAACTGTGATCCTCACTCAGGTGTAGGGACTGACACGGTCATAAAGTCTGTATATGTATCTGTATATCTGTACATGAATCTGTATCTGTGCATGACTATGTATATGTACATGAACCTGTATCCGATTGTAAATAAAAATCACGAGTGATTGCCATAGGTAGAGTGAAATCATATTTACTTGGATTGGATATTTACTTTGCCCGTTGTGTGCAGGGATCTGTGCCCTGGCGCACCCGTGGGAGGGACTGGCGATAGGCGCCGTGGGGTCCTTCCTGTCGTGTGTCGGCACGGAGATGATGGTCAAACTGCGCATTGACGACCCGGTGGGCTGCTTCCCCGTGCACGGGCTGTGCTCGGTCTGGGCGATCCTGGCAGTCGGCATCTTCGGGCACGTGGACGGGCTGGAGGGCGTCAGTAGGTACGACGGGCTCATCAGGGTAGGTCCGGCTTCGTTTTATACTGTATATGAACAGCTGCTTCTACGTATTAGGCTTCGATCGTTCTTTCATTTATATCTTCCTCTGATATATGGACGTCACTGGGAATGACGGTCTCATCAGGGTACGCGTCTTTCAACTATACAAGTATCTTGTTCATTAGTACATTTACGATACCTGTAACTGCTTCTGGCGCATTCATTCATTCATTCATTCCCATATAATCACCAGGCAGGGGCTTATGGGAGTGCCACCTTTCTTTGTTAATTTGTTTATTCATCCTTCCTTCCTTCCATCCGTCTTTCCCTTCGTCCTTCTTACCTTCGTTCCCCCTTCCTTCTTTCCTTCCATCCCTTCCTTCCTTCCATCCTTCTGTCTTCCTTCATCCCATCTTTCTTTCTTTCTTTCTCTTTCTTTCTTTCTTTCGTTCTTTCTTTCTTTCTTTCTTCTCCCTTTTTTCCCTTCCTCTCTCTCTTGATTTCTTCCTTCCTTCCTTCCTTCCCATACCACATCCAGGGAGGCGGGTTCTACCTGCTCGGTGTGCAGGCGCTGGGCGCAGTCACCTTCATCAGCTGGGCCTGCGTCATGTCCTTCATCCTGCTCAAGGTCATCGACAAAACCATCGGACTGCGGGTGTCTCTGGAGGAGGTGAGCGGCGCTGCAATTTTTTGGTCTCGTTAACGGTCCATGCCATTTGAAACGGTCGATGCCATTTGAAACGGTCGATGCCATTTGAAACGGTCGATGCCATTTGAAACGGTCGATGCCATTTGAAACGGTCGATGCCATTTGAAACGGTCGATGCCATTTGAAACGGTCGATGCCATTTCGCTGAATAGTCGATGCCATATCCGAGCGTACCATAACGCTCGGATATTTTGAGGTCCAAAAAGGAATAAAAAGTAAAATGTATTATAAAAAAGCAGTATTCTAATTGCAAATCTAAGGGAGGGTCATGTACAATTGTAAATATAAGTAAAAAAAAAAGCTCGGATTCGAACCCGGGTCTAAAAGTGTAGCTCTAAATCCCTAACCTCTACGCCACAAAGCATCGCGGTATGGATGGATCGTGCTGATATACACTTAAAGTTAGCCATTTTGCGGTATGGTGTCGACCGGTTCAAAAGGCGACGACCGTTTTACCAGACGGGAATTAGCAGCGGCGCTGTTATCGCTACCTGACAGTTGTAGGGTTAATGGCGCTGTAGTGGCGTCTAGTTCAACAGTCGCATGGTTAAACAACAGAGGTTTAAGGCTTAACTTATTCTGAGTTGAGTGAAGTGCAGTTTATATAATCATGTATTTGTATTTGTATATGTATAATGTGACCTGTGCTTAAGCCCAAAATGGACTATGAAGGTCTTCATTCATTTAATATTGACTATTGATACTTAACAGTCGTAGGGTCGATCTAAAGTAGGTTGCGCGCCGTTTTGCCATAATTACGTACGTCGGGTTAAATTTTAGGTGGGTGGCGTGCCATTTAACAATCATTATGTAACAGTCGTAGGGTTAATCTTGGGGGGGTGGCGTGCCGTTTAATCATAATAAATTACCGTCGTAGGGTTAAAGTTAGTCTAAAATACTGCTAAGATACAATAAACGATTGCTTGCATACTAGCCAAAGCAAAGCAGGTATTTTTACGGAGAAAAAAAATCGCAAAATGTTCTAAATGCCGACAGCAACGTTATCGCTTGTGCCTTACATTAAAACATTTCCGTGTTGACTGAAGGAACTGATCGGAGCGGACATCTGCGAGCACGGCGTCGGCTCACCCGACGACAACCCCACGCCGGAGTTCACCGAGGCGTCCGGTAAGGACTCCGCCGACTCCGACGACGATGGCGTGCTTCCAACTCTTCTCGCTAGGGGGGGCCCCGTCCGCCGCTCGAAGCGCCCGCACAGCCTCGGCAAGCGATTCGGTCTCAGGCGCCTGTCCTTCCGCAGCAGCTTTAGAAAGCCTCCGCGGAGCGTCCTGAGTCTCACGGGCGGGCAGAAGGACCATCCTCCCGGCCTAGACAACCCCCGCCCCGTGTACGACCACTCACCCGACGGTAACGGCGCTCTGCTGTACCCGAAGATTGTTGTGGGGTAGTCTCTACAGCAGGCGCCGTTGTAGGCGTTACTAATACTGTTGATTACGCGTTTTTATAGTTTGTTAACGTGATTTAATAATCGCCGCCCACGGAGGCTATTCTCGAGGCCAGTTGTAGGAAGCTAGGCTTACTTCTAAACTCGCGCAAAAAAAACTTCACTTCTTATTCGGATGCTCAACATATAATGATAAAGTAAAGATGCACGTACATCAACCAATATAGCCCTTTTTGAATAGATCAGCACGTTTAATAGATTGTATTGATATGGCACTATATGTATGTGATAAGGAAAATATATAAAATAGTATAAAATAGTGCCTGAATATCATAAGATGTGGTCAAGACTCATGAGTGTATTATCCGATTATGATGGGCCCACATTTCCAAACAGGGGCCCGGCCGGGCTGTTTCTATTAACGAAAAATAAATAATCTGTATTAATGATTTACGCAACTAGTTCCCATGATTATTATATTTTCAACTTTTTAGTGCTTTGTCGTTTTATGAATCATACTTTTCCTTCCATTAGACTGCCCGGCCGGGCCCCGGTTTGGAAATGTGACCCCATGCCAAGCATTACACACGGCAGTCGGCTTTTGAATTTTGTTTTAATCCACTGTAAATGTGGTAATTAATATGTGATGAATACAAATATATGTATCTATTTTCGCGTGTTCAGTGTTTTTGTTAATCAACGGCCCTGACCTTCCTGATATCATTTAGTTTATTAGCAACATGCACGTATCGTTATTTACAATTCTCCTCTGTCGTTCAGAAATAGTGCAGAGACCAAACTGATTTATATGTACAATTATAAGGCGCCAATTAAGGAAACACCACGAACCCATAGAGGACAGACGTCTTGATGGGATCGTGTGGTGCAACGCTAACGGCAGAGTGTTCGGCTCAGAACCGAGATGTCCTGAGTTCGAACCCTGCCACCACGGTAACCGATCTTGTGCCCTTGGTAAAGGCACTTTACACGGCTTTCCTCACTTCGCTCAGGTGGAAATAAGTACCTACGAAGTACGGTTAGGGAAGTCTTTCAGAGAGAACGTTAAATGGAGGTCCCGTATTATTGTAAATACATGTATTAGTATGATAAAATTGTAATGAACCAGTAATTCCGCTTGTTCAGAAATCCAGGGCATCTGGCCATATGTTTTATTTCACTTAACGAAACACCATACAAATGTTGTCTGGAGCCTCCTGGCGTCAAACATGTTCTAAATGTAAGGTAAGAATTCATTCAAGCAGTTAATACATGTAGTTATCAAACAACCCTCAAACAGAAAAAGGACGATGGGTGATTTTCTGTCGTTCTGCTTTAGAAGCAAATACTGTATGCATGCAGTTATAATACGCGTCCATATAGTATAGTCTATTAGGGATACAATGTACTTCACATCACTAGTACTGTATAGAGCCTCCACAGTTACACACACACAAAAAAAAACTTTTAAATAAATATCTATTCACTACTGATACGATTTTAAAATGTCGTTCTTATTTTTCGTTAAACTACTTATTTTCCTTAAAAAACTTCTGTATAAATATGAATATGTAAGCATACGTTTCATTTCACAACAAAAAAGCAGAAAAATTGCTAATACAGCGTAAAGTATTTACAATAATGATTGTTCCCTCAGCAACAGATTGTACTTTTTATGATACACTCACAAGTGTCTGTAGGAACTTTGTAGACATGTGGCTACCATGGACACGATTCCTAATGTGTTACTTATTAATGCTTAATGGGAAAATTGATCTAAGGGACAACTAATTGTCCACGTTGAGTTGATTATATGGATGACATCCACACGCGCATGGATTTTCATCCATTAAAAATGGTTTTTGACCATGCTGTAAATCGTACAAGCAGCTACAAAATGAACAAATATATGCTGTAAGTCCAAAAAAAATATTGAAAAATGATGCAAATCTATAATGCAAGAATAAATTCCAAAGAAATTTAATGAAGAAAATAAATAAATGAAATAAAAATGAAGGGTTTTTATTTCGCCATACCATACTCTGTGTGTTCAGTCAATTTTTCAGCCTTCATTACCACGTGGATTTCATAGTAT